AGTACTGTAAACAAAAAAATATAACATTAGTTTAGATTAGTCATATGTTAAATCATGCATTTGCTTTATAATTAAAATATATTTTTATATTTAAAATAATTAAAATAATTTTAAAATATTATATAAGAATAATTTATTTATAAAAATAAATTAAAAAATTTCAAATAATATTAAAAATTATTAAACGGGTTATTTTATTAAAATCAAATTTAAAAACTCAAAATAAAATTTTAATATAAAAACTAATAATCAACTAAACAAAATTACTATAAAAGAATAGATTAAAAAAATTCAAAATCCCAATTAAACCTAATCAACCTACAATTGAAAAGTATTTTTCTTTCTTTTATCGAAATAACATTCTTTTAATGAAAGAGTGTGTCTTTATATTATGTTATTCATCTAGTTAGAATGTCAAAAATAATAATTAGACAAATAAAAATACTTTTAATAGAATAAGTTTTTGTTAAATGATGTTGTACTTTATCAGAATGGTTAAGACTTATGTTAGTAATTATTGAATTGTGTGGAATTTAAATTTAAATTATATATATATATTGTTTGTTTGTAGCTAATGAGATTGTGGACTGCGTGAAACGGAAAGGGTTAAAGTGTGTAATTTTTAAAGCGGACTTCCAGAAAGCATATGATTGTGTAGACTGGAACTTTTAGGATCTCATGTTGGAGAAGATGGGCTTTGGGGTGCGATGGAGAGGATGGATTAGGTCTTGTATTTCCTCCGCTTTGATTTTGGTACTTGTGAATGGTTCTCCGACCGACAGATTCAGAATTAAAAGGTGAATCAAGCCTGCCTACTGTCCCCTCTCCTATTCAATATTGTTGCTGAGGGACGGAGTTCAATTATGTCTAAAGCGGTTTCTATTGGTCTCTTTGATGGAGTTTCGATTGGTAACGAAAGCTTAGTGATTTCCCGTCTCCAATTCGCGGACGACCTCATTCTTTTTTTGTGGTGATGGCCTCTCCCAAATACAAAATATTAAGCGCCTCTGCTGTTTTGAGCTTGCTTCAGGGTTAAAATTGAATTTAAAGAAGTCAATTCTGTTTGGAGTTAATGTGGAAGACTCGGTGCTGCTACGTTGGTCGAGTTTACTTAATTGTTCCATGGGTAATCTTCATGCGTCGTACTTAGGGTTCCCCTTGGGTCACTCTCGAAACTCGCCTGCCATTTGGAGACCTATTGTGGAAAAAGTGAAGAAAATGGCCCCTTGAAAATCAAAATTGCTATCTTTTTGGGGTAGAGTTGCACTGACCAAGTCCATGCTTTCAAGCATGCCACTATACTTCTTATCGATGTTCAAAATGCCAGCTAGCATCGCTTCAGAACTAAACAAAGTTGTAGCAAAATTCATTTGGAATTCCACTGATGGTAGGAAAATCCATTGGGTGTGTTGGGAACAACTTTGCCTTCCACGGCAGTTTGGTGGCCTTGGTTTAGTGGACTTCAAAGTTAAAATCAAAGCTCTACTCTACAAATGGTTTTGGAGGCTGTTCGGAACGAGGTAGGCTCTGGCAAATAGTTATTAAGAAAAATATGAGAAAGAAGTAAATTGCTTTCTGCCTTCAAACACAAAAGCGCGAAATATATTATGGATTTGGCGTGATATCGTAAACATCTTAGCCCATCTTTTACGGATTCTGATCCTTTTGTCTCAAATATTTGCTTCAGGGTGGGAGATGATTCCTCTTTAGAGTTCTGGTCGGATAATTGGGTGAATGGGTTGAGTTTGAAAAATATGTTTCCAAGGATTTTCGCTTTAGCAGTTAAGAAAGCTGGAAAGGTTGCGGACTTTGGCCAATGGGTTGATGGGATTTGGCAGTGGAAAATACAATTGAGAAGAGCCATCTTTGATTGGGAGGTTGGCATTTGGGAAAATTTCTCACAAACTCTCAAGGGATGCAGCCTTGGTATTATTCCCTCGGACTGCCTGAGATGGACTTTGTCCTCTTCTGGTCACTTTGAAGCAAAAAATATAATAAAGCTTAGTTGCTGTAATCAAACTAACTGCGCCCCGTGGAATGTTTTCTGGTCAGGTTTGATTCCACATGATATTGAGCTCTTTGCGTCGAAAGTTCTTATAAATAGGGTCCCAACAAAGTTCGAATAAACCAAAAGGGGTGTTCCTCTTATGGAGAAGTGTTGTGTTCTATGTGATAAAGAGTTTGAGACTATCGTTCATCTATTTTTTTCATGCGATTTTTCCTGGCAGATTTGGTGTAGTTGGAGTGGTTTTTTGGGTATTAAGTGTGTGTTTTCACAGAATGGTTGGAGTTTTTTGAGTTTTGGTTGGGTTGCTACCCAGCTAGGAAGATTGAAACTTTTCGGAAAATGGCATTTTTTGCTGTTCTTTGGGTTCTTTGGTCTTGCAGGAATGGAAAGGTTTTTAACAATGAGAAGTGGGATGGATCCATGGCGATTGATCGTGTGTGGTTATTTTTAGGGTGGTGGAGCAAGGCAAATTGGCCGGATCTATCCTTTTCAGTTAATGAATTTATCCGGGATCCTAAGATTTGGTCTCTTGCTGTGCTATTTGTGTCGTCAATCCCCCGTAGCATCTGGATTCCTCCGGTTAAGGGGGGGGGGGGGGAATTGAAATTTAATTCAGATGGTTCAGTAATTGGAAACTTTGGTCCAGTTGGGATTGGTGGGGTTCTTAGATATCACAATGTAAAGTTACTTTTGCAATTTTCTAAGTCCATAGGATTCTGGGATCCTTTGTCTGCAGAATTAATAGCAATAAAAGAAGCTTGCCTTTTATTCTTGGATTCTGCCTGGGTTGGAAGGAACAAACTAATCCTTGAATCATATAGCAGTGTTGCGGTTAATTGAATATGTAATTCACGTTTGGCGCCGCGGCCTTTAAAGCTCTTGTCGACTCTTGCATTGAAGTAATTTCTAAATGTGAGGGTGTAATCAAGCTGGTTGGTGGAGAAGGTAATAACCTTGCTGACGCCTTGACAAAGAAAGGGGTTAATAGATGCGGCGATCTTCTAGCGTGTTGTTGAGCGTAGAGGGAATCGAACTTTTGTTTCATAATGTAAATTCGGAGGGGTTCAGTTGATCGTTGCTGGCAGTTTTCGCTGCAACCGTTGCTTTGGTGACGATGATTTTCGTGGAAGGTTCAGATTTCTCCGAGAGAAGTCAATGTCGAGGCGGGTGTATTGACAAAAGCAGTTTGCGATTCTTTTTTTTCATGTATTGTTTTTTACATTTTATGCATTTTTTTATTTTAGTATATATATTTTTTAGATTATATATATATATATATTAATTTTTATTATCTATTTTATTAATTTATACATATTTATTATTTTTTATATTTTTATTTATTTTATTTATATACATATTATCATTTCGTTTATCTTATATTTATTTTATTTATTTAATTTTATATTTTTCCCTCTTGCATTTATTTATTTATTTACTATGTATATATTATTTTTATCATTATTTTCTAGTATTTTATTTATTTTATTTGCTTTTATATATTTAATTTATTTATTATGTCTTTTATTTTTTTATTTATTTTCCTTTTCGTTTCCTTATTTTTATTTAATTTACTTGTTATCATTAATTTATTATTATTCTTTTCTTTGTCTTTCTTTTATTCATTTTATTTTATCTTCTCCATTTCATCAGTTTTCTATTTTGTTAGTTTTTATTACCTTTTTTCTAACACGTTTATTGACTTTTCTAAGAGTGCGCTTTCAAAACAATCAATTGTAAGTCATTTGATTTGGGTTTGTTAAATTTTAATTTAAAATTTGAATTTTTGCAACTAAGACAACCGGTAAATTAATTGGTACCGAAAGGGCGGTTCAAGGGTGTTAATCATTCCTTGATCGTAACCGACTCCCGAACCCGACACGTTTCTGGTACAACGCAGATCAGGTAAGATGGTGTCCGACCCACCTAAATTCGTTTTAAAGTGGTCGGTCGCGACTCCCAACTCAATTATTTCAAGTCGAAGCCCAATTCGAGGCACAACCGAAAGACGATTACGACAATATGTATAGTTTGGGATAAAATCAAAATGTTCAAAAAGTTTTGGAAACCAATTTAGAATGAAGGTCATAGTTTGAGGATTGAATTAAAATGTTCAAAAGTTTGAGGACTAATTTAAAATGATATTCATAATTTAGGGATTAAATTAAAATATTTAAAAGTCTAGTGATCAATTTAAAATGAGGGTAATACATTGAGAACATGGATGTAATTAACTATATATATTAAAATAATTTTTTTGAATTAATCATTGGTTTTCGATCTATTAATGTAATAATCCATATTGGGTATTGTAAAAGCAAAGGCGATCATCCCAATCTAGTTTGGAATATATTAGGTACTGCAGAGTCAAAGGCGACTTTCCCAACCTAGGTTGTTTCATTTGCAAACGTCAAAGTTTGAACTCTTGACTTTGCTTAAAGAATCTAGTGTCTCATCTTGCTAAACCAATTGATTATTGGTTAAAATAATTTTATTAGATACAACTATTTCTTTAATATATACATATATATATATACCAAAAAATTAACATATTATCTATAATATTATAAATAAAGTAGCCATTAAAATAAAATAAAATAATTTATTTTTAATACGATTTGAATATTAAATCTTTTATTTACTAAAATAAAATTTAGTTATAAATATTTATCTCCAGACTTAAATTTGAGAAAATAGATTAAAAGATAATATTCTACTAATGAAATTATATATTAATAATAAAAAAATGTTTAATTAAAATTATTTATAACTAAATAATAGAAAAATATTTAGAGTAAGGTTCAAAACCTAAACCTAATAAATATCAACATAAACCATAATCAACCAAACAAGATTATATTATATAACAAAAACAAGTTTTTGTTAAAGTTGTTTTCTATTTTTCAGTTAAAATATTTCATCGTGATGTTGGGTGTTTCTTTTATCTGGCTCACATACATTACTATATATAGTCCCCTCTCCCTTCAATCGTTTCTCGAAATAAAGAAACACCATAACCACCGAGGCAATACGATGCTCTCTTCTCTTCCTATCTCAATCTCTCTTCCTGTTTCTCCAATTTCTCCGCCATCAACTTCCCGCGCTAGATTCCGGCCTCCTCAAGCCACCGCTACCTGCGCCAATTCTTACGCTTCGCAACAAGAGAAAGCGTCGACGAGCGGCTATCTGAGCCGTCCAGGGATGGCAGCGTGCACGTTGTTGTACGAGGTTCTAGGGATTCCCGTCAGTGCTTCGAATCAGGAAATCAAAGCGGCGTACCATGGATTGGCTAGGGTTTGTCATCCGGACGTGGCGGCAATTGATCGGAAAGGTTCATCGGCAGATGAGTTCATGAAGATCCACGCGGCCTACAGTACCTTATCGGATCCCCAAAAACGGGCTGTTTATGATAGTAAGGTTTTTCGGAGAGGCCGACGGCCGTTAACTTCGGATTCTAGGTTTTCAGGATTTAGGGGGAGGAGCTGGGAGACCGATCAGTGCTGGTGAACGAGTCAACTCTCTCTCTCGCTACCGAGTTGGATGTCGGACTCAGTGAACGGTTTTTAACTCCCAAAAATATGTACAGTTAATCAGTTAAGTACACATCTCAATGGGAAAAGAAAAGAACTAACGAGTAAAAAAATTACGACCGGAGAGTCCATCGGGAGAAATCAGGGTCATTGATTGTGCCATGTAAGAGCTCTGCTCTTTTTTAATTTGGGCTCTATGCTTTCGTTGATGAACAAAGGAAGACAGAAATCCTTGTACTTTTACTTAATTAATATTATCAGACTTTAGTTATTTTTTCAAATCCTCTCACGACCATTACAACTCTCTGAAATTCACTATGTTTGGTTCTTTTACAACCTTCCCCTTTGAATCAATTAGAATGAATATCATTCAGTCTATTCATCAATATTACTGTGTTGTGTATGAACCCACTCTTAACCTTCAATAAAATTTTCATTAAGTTCAGTGGTCACTAGTTAATATTTATTTATGTTTAACTGTTACACTAGTATGGTAACGATTAATATTGATTAAAGGATAAAATTAATATAAATAAATTTAATTTTAAGATAATTTAATTTATAATTATTTTGATGGATGAACCGCCTAACATATCCAAAAGTTAAATAAAAAAGAGTGATCTCACCCTCATAATGCATTAATGTATTAATTTTGGGGGGAAATGCATTAAAAGATTGTTTGTGAATGATATTGAATACATGCAAAAGACGAAATGAAGTGCCTTGAATTAATTTGGGGATGGAAAACGACCGCACAAACCTTTGGGACCATTCATAAGCTTGGAATCATAATGCCACTGTTTTGTTCCACTAGTACTGAATTTGCGTATTTGGAACAGACTTGTATACTTCAACTTCGTTGAATGTATCATATGTTCTAGAACCTTTCTTATTCAATCTAATTCCAGCTGTTCATTTTGACAAGAAATTGGGAAGATTCCCACGCCGGACCATATGTTTTCTTTATCCAATCGAGGGTTATCGACAAAATTTTTGGGACTCAATTTTCAAAGAGAGTAATTTCCAAGGTATTTTTTAAATTTATTTTATATAATTGTTTATTATATTATATTATTTAATATATTATTGTCGAGCACTCAGTAAATTGTTTTAATGTTACAAAAATCCTATTATTTTAAAATAATTCGTGGAATGATCCGTCACGTTCGACTAGCACGGATGAACACCGTTAATAATGAGCACCGTTAAATTAATTTATAAAATAATAAATTATAAAGTACTAAACGTATAATTATAAATTAGTTAAAAATCTAAATGTAATTTAATTAAAATACAATATTTATAAATATTAGTTTTTAGGGTAAATTATACCAGTGACCACCTAACTATGTACTTCTTTTACTTTAACCATTGATTTTTCAATTTTATCAATCGGGTCACCTAACTATTTAAAATCTTATCAATCAATCCACATGTCGTTAAATATTAACGGAGGATATGACATGTCAGTTAATAAAATTTATATAATTATACATTTAGTCCTCATTACTTGCACATTCTATTAATTTAGTCTTAACTTTTATTTAATTCAATAAATTTAATCCTCAATCCGATGGTGACTCAATGTTTTTTAAGTTTTTTTATTTAATAAATTTTCCATCCAATTAAATGGTGTCATGTGTTACCAATTGAATGAATGAAAAGTAAATTAAATCAATAACCATTAAGCTAGACCACTAAAATTATCTAGTATACAAAACGTAATCTATATAATTTATAAGATAGTTAATGGTAACAAATGACCATATAAGGACTCAAACATGAAATAATTGAATAGTATGAAAATATAAAATATATATATAAACAAATATTATAATTGATTAATAAATGAATTTAATATGTTATAATTGAAATATATCATATTACATATTTTAAATTAATAAATTATCTTCATTATTATAATTTTATTTAATTGAGATGTATTTTATCTTATATTTTAAAATATTATAACGTCGACCGAATTCTAATCTTATTTAACAACTCTATATTAAAATAGACTAAATCAATAAAAACAAGTTTCCCCTAAAATTTTCTTCAAATATATAATGAATAAATATTAAAATATAAAATTATTACTCTAACTGGGATATAAACAAGCAATGTATAAGTTAAAATGCTTACTACGATAAGCCTTCAACTATCAGTAAAATTCTAAGTCAACGAAGATATTCGTTATATTTTAATTATAATATATTAATTTTTTTTATTTTTTCATTAAAATGATTTAAAATATAAATAAAATGCATTCACATATTAATCATTATAATATTTGTGTGTGTATATATCATATTATCGTGTTATTCGATTATTCAATGTTGGAGTTCTTATTAGGTCATTTTTCCTTTTTTATTGTCATTAACTATATATATATTATGCCGTGATAAGCTTGTCATTTGAATGGTGCATCTTAGTTGGGGTTTTTGTTTATTATCTTTACATCTTGGGTTCAAATCCCACCAACAGTGGTTATTGATATTCATTTAATTGGTGACATGTGGCACCATTTGATTGGATGAAAAATTTATTAAATTAAATAAAAATATTAAGAAAAAACATCTAATCACATAGTGACACGTGTCACTATCTGATTGAGAATTAAATTTATTGAATTAAATAAAAATTAGGACCAAATTAATAGAATGTGGAAGTGATGAGGACTAAATGTGTAATTATACAAATTTTATTAACTGCCACATCTACTCTGTTAATATTTAGTGATTGATAAAATTGAAAAATCAGTGATTAAAGTAAAAGGGGTAAATAGTTAGGTAGTTAATGGTATAGTTTACCCTAAAAACTAATGTTTTATAAATATTATATTTTAATTAAATTACATTTAGATTTTCAACTATTTTATAATTATATGTTTAGTACTTTATAATTTAGTATTTTATAAATTAATTTAACGGTGCTCATCCACGCTCGATGAACGTTGTAGAAATTTTCTAATTCGTGTTCAAATAATTGTATTATGTGATGTATGTATATTATTAATGACTAAAAAAATTCTAAATAAATACTACCTTACAATTACATTACATTATTGAAAAATTATATATTACTGTCAACATTTAAATTGGAATAATCTTTTTTTTTCTTCCCATCCACAACTTATTTGCTTTGAAAACCAATCACGATTACTCCTAAATCTATATATCTTAACTAGGTGAATTTAATGCACGCCCATTTAACCCAAACATTAGGGAGCGAAAAACAACGAAAACCATTTACAAGGTACAATCCGACATTAAAAATATGAATTTTTAATATATAAAAATAACTTACATGTCACAATTATCGGTAAAAAATATTATTCTCCATAAAAGTTTTAGGTTTGAACAATTGTGTTTGTAGAATTTGTAAGTATTGTTAATAAATTAATTTTTTTTTTAAATATATTACTTTATAATCACCTAAACTAATAAAAAATCATTTACATATTATAATCGTCGGTATGACACATTTAAAATGAAGTGATTTAAAAATTATTCAGATTTAAATGTTAGCGGTGATTTATTAATTTTTTTAATAAATGAATCAAGTATGCAACTTGGTTTAGTGATCAAGTGTTGAGGTATCTTTTCTATCAATTTGGGTTCAAGTTACTTAGACAAATTTATTAACATGACAAATAAAAACTAAAATTTATATCATTATATGACCATTGATCATTTGGTAATTTGGTGATATACTAATATCTAATGTCCAAAATTAAAATTGAGTTAAAAAATTATTTATTTATTATAATAATATTTTGAAATTTAATTAAAATATTTTAAAACTAAAAAAGCATTTTAAAACCTAGACCATATTTGTCAGTACTTATAAATTATTATTCCTTAATCTAAGAAAGCGTGACAATAATATATTTGTATATATACTAAGAATTTAATGGTTGGCTTAAATAATGTTGAAAGAGTAAAAGCTTACTTCAAACCTAGCCCAATCACAATAATTTATTCCTAGAAGACCAAACAGAGGAATATAAAAGTAGAATATGTTGTACGAATCAATATATCTCAGTGGTAAAAAGAATCATTACTGTTATTAGAGTTTATTAGTTCGAGTACCAACGATTATAAAGGTGATTGAACATTTATTGTCAAAAAATTTATAATACTTAGAATAAATATTATATTATAATCACCTTTAGTTTGATAAAAAAAATTAGAATAAGTCATTTAAAAAAAATAATTAGCCTATATTTTATGTCAAGTAAAAAATATTACAATAAGTATTTTCTATATAATATTTAAATAATTCAAATCTATTATTATTTTTAATTTTTAAAAAAATAGTGATTAGCTTAAATATTGTTGAAAGAGTAAAAGCCTACTTCAAACATATCCAATCAAGCTAATTTGCTTCTTTTTGAATAAAACGTTATTAAAGAGATATATATATATATATATATATAAGGTATAGACTCATAAAAGATCCGACATATAAATACTAATAATATTTATTTGCGATAAATTTTAAAATTATTTATTAATGATATCTTTGAATATAAATCCCTAATAAATAGTAATATTATAAATTATGTAGAGTAAATATATAAAAATAGTTTTTTTTGAAAAAATAATCAATTGGTATTTATGTGAAGTAAAAGAATAGTATTCAACAAAGGGTTGGTTAATTAATATACAAATATTCCTGTAAATAATGTTGAATTCAAAGTCTACAAAATGGCATTTCTTTTGTAATAAATAAATAAATAAATGTTTATTGTACTTTAAATTCAAACTGGGCGGCACGTTTCCCCCTTTAAAAACAGGGACCCCACTCCAATGAACATCTAGTTTGTTGTTTACAGAATTGGTGTCATAGGTCATAGGTCATAGGAGTCTAATTAACGGTTCATATAGCTTCCTTGATTGGCTTTACCTATATTTATTAAGATGGTTAAAGGAATCAGTCAGGATAATTGTCATTTTAAAAATTTTATCTTCTCATATAATTTAAGTGTATATTTTTATTAATAATCTTTTTTTATATCTCCTTAAATTTTATAAGGTTAATTTCCCTTTCAATTTTTTATAAATTTACTTCCCTTGTATAAATCTTACACCCGTCTTATATATATATTGTAGACACTAGTTTTTGACCGGACTTAAAAAAATATATACATGTTATTATAAATATTATTTATTATTATTATTATTATTAATTTTATTAATTTTATTTTTG